AAAGTGGCACAGTCCCGATGTTACTAAACCACACGGCTGGCCATTAATTCAAATCCATTGAAAGTCCCAAGGTCGGCAGAGCATGGCAGGCTGCTGAACAATGACATGGTTACATGCGGCGTTCAACTGTGCCATAAGCTAGGGACCAGTCCCAAAGCTGCTGCTTATATACGGGAAGTAGACTACATCCCTAAAGCACATTGAGCTACTTGTGGTAGATCCCACCATGGAGTTGATTGCCAGTCTAGTCATGGGAAATAACTACCACCAGCTGCCCAAGCAAGTTGACATACAACTTTAACTACCACGGAGCTCAAACCCAAACTTGCTAACTTCAAGTTGATTCTGATTCATGGCAACCGTGTAGGACAGAGAAGAACTACCTCATAGGGTTTTTCAGGGTGTAAAACTAGCAATAGAACAATAAAAAACCACTGTATTTGGTGCCAAAATGAGATACCCATTGCCTTCCAGTCGATTCTGACTCATAATGACCCTGTAGGGCAGAGTAATACTGCTCCACAGAGTTTTTTTTTATAAGTGACTACTATATATATATATATTTTTTTTATTAGGATTTGGGTGAAGATTTACAGAGTAAATTCACTTTTCATACAGCAGTTCACATATACTTTGTCTCATGTCATTGACCAAAATTTACAATGCAGCAGCTCCCCTCCCACTTCCTCCCCATAGTTACCTCCTCCCAGTGTCCATCCCTTCATATTCTTCGAGAGGCCCATTTTCTGCTAACCCTGTATATGATCTTGGATACACTCTCCATTTAGACATACATAATTCCACAGAGTTTTTAAGGGTGTAAATCTTGATGGAAGCTGGGTGCCTCATCTTTCTCTTGGAAGTGGCTGGTGGGTTCCAACCACCACAGCTGGGCTCTTAACCACTGCACCACCAGGGCTTCTTCCAAAATGAGGTAGACTATAGACATAATTACTGATTCTTATGGACTTCCTGTGTATTAGGAACTCTAAGAGACCTTTTACATGTTATTTTATTTGTTTCTTAGAACTACTTTATATGGTCGACACCTGTTTTAAAGATTAGGAAACAGAAGCTCAGGGAATCTAAACAATTAGCCTTAAATCACTCTTTAATTCAAGTCCATGTTGAAATTTCAACTGTTATCCTTTTGCACTTGCTATTTGTTTTAAAACTGCTTATGCTTTAAAAGGAATTCCTCATTGGTACAAATTGTTAAGTGCTGAACTAATAACCGAGGGGTTGGTTCATCCCCACCCAGAGGTGCCTTGAAAGTAAGGCCTCAACAGTCTGCTTACATGGGATTGTCCTGGGTTGGAATCAACTCAATAGCAATTAACAATATGCTTTGTTTTAAAAAAACAAAAACAAAAACAAAAAAAACGCCAGCTCTGTACATTTATTGCTTTTGCATATGGAATTTGAATCCAGAAAAAAAAATTATCTCAGAAAATAAATGGATCATGTCATGGAAGTGTAAAGGAAAATATCTTAGGAGTGAGCCTTTGAAAAAAAAAAAAAAGAAGAAGAAGAAAACAACCCACTTGGTTTTGAGTGTATTCTGACTCATAGCAACCCTAGGAGTCTGCTGCACCATACGGGCTTGTGGTGTGATCCTGGACTGTGGTAGTTCAGTTTGTGTGTCAACTTGGCTGGGCCTGGTTGAGTAGTTGGACAGCTGGATGTATTCCTCATGATGAGACTGGTAATCTACTCCATGGTGGGATCTAGTGTGAACAACTGAGTAGCTGCCTTAAGGAATGTGATCTGCTTCTTCTATATAAGCAGAAGCCTTGGGGAATGGTTTCTAGCTTATGGCATGCTTGGACCCTGCATGTAGCTGTGTTGTTGTTCAGCAGCCTGCCGTGCTCTGCTGACCTTGGGACTTACAATGGACTTGAATTAATGGCCTGCTGTGTGGTTTGGTAACATCGGGACTGTGCCTTTCTATTTGTTGACCTTGGGCTTGTTAGCCTCAGCAGCCAATAGCTGCCTGAGTGAAGAAAAGCCTCTAGCTTCAGTGGGCCAGGAGCAAGAGGCAGATCTGAAGCCCAAGGTCAAGGGGCTTTCCACACAGCTGTAAGAGAATAAACTCCTGTTTGTTAAGGCCATCCCATTTGTGGTATGTTCTTGTCAGAGCAGCACTAGGTAACCAGAACAAAATATGGTACCGGGAGTGGGGTGTTGCTCTGACAGATATCTAAAATGTGCAAACAGGAGTGGAGTGTGTCCTTTACCTGGAGTGCGTCCTTGACCCGGGACCCTGGCAGAGAGACCCTGGCATATTGCATGAGAGACGGCAGGAGCAGAGCCAAGAGACTGGCAGAGAGATACCGGCAGAGAAAAGCATGAGAGATGGCAGTAGCAGAGCCCAGAGACTGGCATTAAATAGCAGCAGGCTTACCAGTCCGTGGAGGAGAAAGCCGGGTGCCATTGGGTAGATGGATTCCTGCCGGAGTGGGTTGCCTTTGGGCATTAATTGGTAGAGAAGATCAGCATAAAATGGAGTAGCAGGTTAGCTGGCCCATGGGGCAAGAAAGCTGAATGGTTTTGGGGCAGGAAGATTTCCTGTGGAGTGGGGTTGCCTTTGGCATTAATAGGCAGAAGCGGAGAGACCAAGGAAACGGAAGCAGAACTGCCTCAGCCTGAAAGGGTAGGACCATAGCCTTTGGGGGTGGAATGACCACTGCCTAGAAAATCCTATGAGGCAGTTTTCCTCTGTCACATGGGGTCACTATGTGTCCTTATTGACTTCATGGCACCTAACTATATCTTAAACCGCTAATGAATGTCCTGTTTTTATAAAATCTTACTCTTGGAGTGGTCATGGAGGGCTTCCTACAGAATTTGATATCTCATCTGGATTTTTGAGGTATTTGCTTGGCATATGGGGGATGAGGATAAGTGATTGTGGGCCAAAAAGAAAGAACAGCACTTGTGTAGGAAATATCTTGGGTACTTCCAACATTGGGGGCCGTTTGCTCTCTGTAGGTGGACCATATTTTAATTCTTTTCTGATGAAAAATTGTAGTATACCAAGAGAAGAGCTTGCTTGAAAATTCTCTTTCTCTCCCTTATTTTCTTCTAAATACATTGCTGAGTAATATCCAGGTATATCTAGGTTGTCCTTGACCTATCTGAAGAGCCTCCTCCTCCCTCCCTCCCTCCCTCTTTTTACCTGCTTTACTTTTTCTTCATGATACTTAACACTATTTGAAATTCCATTATATATGTATAAGCTTATTTATTTGTTGACTACCCTATTAGAAGGGAGCTCTGGTGGCATAGTGCCTAAGGCATTTGACAGTTTACCAGAAGGCTGGTGGTTCACATCCACCAGCCACATACTCCATTTCTTCCTCCTAGTCCTGACACTCCTTTTCCTTTGTTGTCCCAGGTAAATATGGCATAGTGCCTAAGGCATTTGACTGCTAACCAGAGGCTGATGGTACAAACCCACCAGCCACTCCTCAGAAAGAAGGTCGGACGATCTACTTCCGTAGTGATACGGCCTCGGAAACCCAAGGAGGGGTCGCTGTGAGTCAGATTCGACTTCACAGCAGTGTTTTTTTTTTTACCCTATTAGAATATAAACAGTAAGAGGGCAGGGTCTTCATTATTATTTTTTATTCTTTATTTCTTAACATCTAATACTGTTTGGGTATGTTAGTTGCCATCGAGTCAGCTCCAACTCATGGAGACCTTATGTATAACAGAACAGAACATTGCCTGGTCCAATGCTGTCTTCATGATCTTTGGTATGTTTGAGTCCATTGTTGCAGCTATTGTATCAGTCCCTTTCACTGAGGGTTTCCCTTGTTTTAGCTGACCCTCTACTTTACCAAATATGATGTCTGTAATGGCTAATGTTATGTGTCAACGTGGCTAGGCTATGATTCTCAGTGATTT